AGCCCCAGCTACGGTACAAAGACGTATGCAAGAGGGACCTGAAAGCCCCAGCTACGGTACAAAGACGTATGCAAGAGGGACCTGAAAGCCCCAGCTACGGTACAAAGACGTATGCAAGAGGGACCTGAAAGCCCCAGCTACGGTACAAAGACGTATGCAAGAGGGACCTGAAAGCCCCAGCTACGGTACAAAGACGTATGCAAGAGGGACCTGAAAGCCCCAGCTACGGTACAAAGACGTATGCAAGAGGGACCTGAAAGCCCCAGCTACGGTACAAAGACGTATGCAAGAGGGACCTGAAAGCCCCAGCTACGGTACAAAGACGTATGCAAGAGGGACCTGAAAGCCCCAGCTACGGTACAAAGACGTATGCAAGAGGGACCTGAAAGCCCCAGCTACGGTACAAAGACGTATGCAAGAGGGACCTGAAAGCCCCAGCTACGATACAAAGGCGTATGCAAGAGGGACCTGAAAGCCCCAGCTACGGTACAAAGACGTATGCAAGAGGGACCTGAAAGCCCCAGCTACGGTACAAAGACGTATGCAAGAGGGACCTGAAAGCCCCAGCTACGGTACAAAGACGTATGCAAGAGGGACCTGAAAGCCCCAGCTACGGTACAAAGACGTATGCAAGAGGGACCTGAAAGCCCCAGCTACGGTACAAAGACGTATGCAAGAGGGACCTGAAAGCCCCAGCTACGGTACAAAGACGTATGCAAGAGGGACCTGAAAGCCCCAGCTACGGTACAAAGACGTATGCAAGAGGGACCTGAAAGCCCCAGCTACGGTACAAAGACGTATGCAAGAGGGACCTGAAAGCCCCAGCTACGGTACAAAGACGTATGCAAGAGGGACCTGAAAGCCCCAGCTACGGTACAAAGACGTATGCAAAAGGGACCTGAAAGCCCCAGCTACGGTACAAAGACGTATGCAAGAGGGACCTGAAAGCCCCAGCTACGGTACAAAGACGTATGCAAAAGGGACCTGAAAGCCCCAGCTATGGTACAAAGACGTATGCAAGAGGGACCTGAAAGCCCCAGCTACGGTACAAAGACGTATGCAAGAGGGACCTGAAAGCCCCAGCTACGGTACAAAGACGTATGCAAAAGGGACCTGAAAGCCATGGACGTCGATCTTGCTATATGGGAGACACTGGCTGCAGACCGTTCAGCCTGGAGGCAGTCTGTTCAACGAGGTCTCTCCAAGTTCGAGGAGTCACTTGCCAAGGAATCGGAGGCAAAGAGACAGAGAAGGAAAGCCGGTAACCAGGAAGACAGACCAGAATCGGACTTCGTTTGTGCTCGGTGTGGGATGGACTGCCACTCTCGGATTGGCCTCATCAGTCACACCAGACGCTGCTCCAGGATTGACAAGTAGGGCGCAACTCCATAGTCTCCCGAGACTGAAGGATACCTACTATATATATATATGTATGTATGTGCGAACAAGCCTGAATGGTCCCCAGGCATATATGCAACTGAAAACTCACACCCCATAAGTGACTCGAACCCATTCATACATAATGAACCCATGGGTTCATTGTGTATGTATGTGTATAAAGTATATGGGAAAGTTCATCAGAATTACATTTCACCTTTGTACATTCACATTAATGACACTATGTAAAAGACACATCGAACACGATATGTAGGGCATATGTAAATCTGTGTATCTATGTATTTACGCATGTAGGTTAGCTTAACATTTTAAAAGCACTACAATAACCTTCTGTGGTTGATTGTTCAATAAATCCCTGAACTATATGTTTAAGAAATCTCTCACCCTGTCTATGGAGGACTGAAGAAAATGTATAAATCCTGGTTAGCATTGTAAATGTCTGGCCACGTCTGTGGTCGGAAATAATAATAATAAAAAATTGTAATGATTTAGACTACTGTATACCTGTTTAACATTACAAGATTTGCAAACCTCAATAGACTTTGTATTTGAAATCAGAAATATAATGGACATTATTGCCGTAATTACCTGTTACTTTAGGAATATATTACAAAACTGAAGTAAAATCAAATTGCATATTAGGAAAGATAGAAATTAGGCCAAAGATACAATTATCTATGTGAAGGATGACTCAAGATTCCGTTCGTCGAGCCCAGAGGGAGAAGACCGAGAATTAATTAGCAAGGAGAGATGCAGCATCAGCCACCTCCCTGCTGGGATGAGAGATGCAGCATCAGTCACCTCCCTGCTGGGATGAGAGATGCAGCATCAGTCACCTCCCTGCTGGGATGAGAGATGCAGCATCAGCCACCTCCCTGCTGGGATGAGAGATGCAGCATCAGTCACCTCCCTGCTGGGATGAGAGATGCAGCATCAGTCACCTCCCTGCTGGGATGAGAGATGCAGCATCAGCCACCTCCCTGCTGGGATGAGAGATGCAGCATCAGCCACCTCCCTGCTGGGATGAGAGATGCAGCATCAGTCACCTCCCTGCTGGGATGAGAGATGCAGCATCAGCCACCTCCCTGCTGGGATGAGAGATGCAGCATCAGTCATCTCCCTGCTGGGATGAGAGATGCAGCATCAGTCACCTCCCTGCTGGGATGAGAGATGCAGCATCAGCCACCTCCGTGCTGAGCGGAGAGAGATGATAACCGCTGGTATAATAACAAGAGGATCAAGATAGCAGGACCACCGGGTGGTTATACCAGAGTGGTTATACCAGAGTGGTTATACCAGAGTGGTTATACCAGGGTGGTTATACCAGAGTGGTTATACCAGAGTGGTTATACCAGAGTGGTTATACCAGAGTGGTTATACCAGAGTGGTTATACCAGGGTGGTTATACCAGGGTGGTTATACCAGAGTGGTTATACCAGGGTGGTTATACCAGGGTGGTTATACCAGGGTGGTTATACCAGAGTGGTTATACCAGAGTGGTTATACCAGGGTGGTTATACCAGAGTGGTTATACCAGAGTGGTTATACCAGGTTGGTTATACCAGAGTGGTTATACCAGGGTGGTTATACCAGAGTGGTTATACCAGAGTGGTTATACCAGGTTGGTTATACCAGGGTGGTTATACCAGGGTGGTTATTCCAGAGTGGTTATATCAGAGTAGTTATACCAGAGTGGTTGAAGATTAGGCCGCCACAAGAGGTGGCACGGGCATGAATAACCCTCATGGGGGGGGGGTTGTGATTATACCATTCAATATGTTAATACATAGTTACCGCTGCCTGTGACAAGGTAGTTACCGCTGTCACAGGGTAGTTACCGCTGTCACAGGGTAGTTACCGCTGTCACAGGGTAGTTACCGCTGTCACAGGGTAGTTACCGCTGTCACAGGGTAGTTACCGCTGTCACATGGTAGTTACCGCTGTCACAGGGTAGTTACCGCTGTCACAGGGTAGTTACCGCTGTCACAGGGTAGTTACCGCTGTCACAGGGTAGTTACCGCTGTCACAGGGTAGTTACCGCTGTCACAGGGTAGTTACCGCTGTCACAGGGTAGTTACCACTGTCACAGGGTAGTTACCGCTGTCACAGGGTAGTTACCACTGTCACAGGGTAGTTACCGCTGTCACAGGGTAGTTACCGCTGTCACAGGGTAGTTACCGCTGTCACAGGGTAGTTACCACTGTCACAGGGTAGTTACCGCTGTCACAGGGTAGTTACCACTGCCACAGGGTAGTTACCGCTGTCACAGGGTAGTTACCACTGTCACAGGGTAGTTACCGCTGTCACAGGGTAGTTACCGCTGTCACAGGGTAGTTACCACTGTCACAGGGTAGTTACCGCTGTCACAGGGTAGTTACCACTGTCACAGGGTAGTTACCGCTGTCACAGGGTAGTTACCGCTGTCACAGGGTAGTTACCGCTGTCACAGGGTAGTTACCACTGTCACAGGGTAGTTACCGCTGTCACAGGGTAGTTACCGCTGTCACAGGGTAGTTACCGCTGTCACAGGTAGTTACCGCTGTCACAGGGTAGTTACCACTGTCACAGGGTAGTTACCACTGTCACAGGGTAGTTACCGCTGTCACAGGGTAGTTACCACTGTCACAGGGTAGTTACCGCTGTCACAGGGTAGTTACCGCTGTCACAGGGTAGTTACCGCTGTCACAGGGTAGTTACCACTGTCACAGGGTAGTTACCGCTGTCACAGGGTAGTTACCACTGTCACAGGGTAGTTACCGCTGTCACAGGGTAGTTACCGCTGTCACAGGGTAGTTACCGCTGTCACAGGGTAGTTACCACTGTCACAGGGTAGTTACCGCTGTCACAGGGTAGTTACCGCTGTCACAGGGTAGTTACCGCTGTCACAGGGTAGTTACCGCTGTCACAGGGTAGTTACCGCTGTCACAGGGTAGTTACCGCTGTCACAGGGTAGTTACCGTTGCCTGTCACAAGGTAGTTACCGTTGCCTGTCACATCTTGGAGTGCTTGTATGATGTCAATTGCCAATTTTGTGTACGAAAATAAGAAGTCCTGCCATGTCGTAATTGAGTTTTACAACAATCTTAAAAGTCTGTAACGGAGAACAACAGAAAATGGGGCACAGGAGAGGCGTCAAGTTCTTAAATCATGAAAGAGTTCAACCACACGAATTCAGGTAACGAATCAAGGAACTTCCCGTCTTAAAGCAAGCCATGGAGAACAAAGCTGTTGGAAGTCGCAGAAGGGAATTTCTGACAATTCACATAAATGACTCACCCCTTCTTGACGGCTGTAACCAGCTCCCCCCAGGAATGAATAGACAATTACTCACCCCTTCTTGACGGCTGTAACCACCTCCCCCCAGGAATGAATAGACAATGACTCGCTCCTTCTTGACGGCTGTAACCACCTCCCCCCAGGAATGAATAGACAATGACTCGCTCCTTCTTGACGGCTGTAACCACCTCCCCCCAGGAATGAATAGACAATGACTCACCCCTTCTTGACGGCTGTAACCACCTCCCCCCAGGAATGAATAGACAATGACTCGCTCCTTCTTGACGGCTGTAACCACCTCCCCCCAGGAATGAATAGATAATTACTCACCCTTTCTTGACAGCCTTGATGCCCTCAATGGGGCTGGACTGGTTGAACTGCCTCATGTAGGCGTGCATGACCGGGAAGGACTTCTTCATGAGGACGTCCGTGTTGCCGTGGAGTGTGGTGGCGAACTTGAAGGGCGGCTTCATCGTCGTGGGGTTCTGCAGCTGTTGGGCACAATGGGTACACAGGTTCAGTGGCCCGCCTTACAATGTGTGGGTTGGGGGGGGGGGAAATATTACATCTGAAAAATTAACATGATATTAAACTTTCATGACTGACTTGGGAGCGTAACTATAGATAACTTATATCAGTGCAAATAACGTTTGCACCTTCAACTTCTATCGTCTATCGATGATTAATCGATATGTCTATCGATGATAGTTCTATCTATCGAAGCACAGTCAAGCTGTGGATCATAAATAAAAACCCATGTCTCTGTACTCTTTGAAACAATTCAATTATATAATTGTGCTAAAAATTGTGTGGTGAAATTTCAGAAAATATTCTTTAAGAGGTGGCTACTTCAGGTGTTTAATTATTTACATGTGACTCACATATATACCCACATACCACATGTAGTGCCAGGTCTACGAGGTACTTGGGCCTACAGCCACCATTTCATCTTTACTGTATATATATATATGTTAAGACTCCAGGAATATCATTAATAAACACTATGGGAAAGGTATCTGGCCTTACCAGAGCTCAGCCTTGGTTGACCATATCTCTATGGTCGTAGCTCAGTCGATTAAGGCAGTGTCTGGGATGCTCCCGGACGCAGGTTCGAATCCTCGTCACGGCCCTTGTGGATCTGTTCATATCTCTATATCTACCGTTATTTGTATTGATATAATATTTCTCAGATTGGAACGATTGGGTTTTAATAAAGTATTTTTTCCTGCTGTTAGTCTTTTCGAGATTGTGTAATATTAACTAAGTGATTAGTGATAGATCTTGTGTTTACATTATTAATCATGACAGTGTGTATGTGATTGACATTAATATATGACAGTTGTAGAGACTAGTTAATGGGTCAGACAATTAGTCTTCAGTAATGCCTCCCTAAGAGGGTCTTAAGAGATAAGAGATAAGAGATGTCTAATTCCTTCTATGGTTATCCTTTACCGGGAAAAATATTAATATTGGGATTTTATTATTCATTTATAATTATTAGTTCTGTGTTAAAAAATATGTATATATACTGTAGTGTGACCTGTAGTAGGCATCCTTCAGTCTCGGGAGACTATGGAGTTGCGCCCTAGTTGTCAATCCTGGTGCAGCGTCTGGTGTGACTGATGAGGCCAATCCCAGAGTGGCAGTCCTTCCCACACCGAGCACAAACGAAGTCCGATTCTGGTCTGTCTTCCTGGCTACCGGCTTTCCTTCTCTGTCTCTTTGCCTCCGATTCCTTGGCAAGTGACTCCTCGAACTTGGAGAGACCTCGTTGAACAGACTGCCCCCAGGCTGAACGGTCTGCAGCCAGAGTCTCCCATATAGCAAGATCGACGTCCATGGCTTTCAGGTCCCTCTTGCATACGTCTTTGTACCGTAGCTGGGGCTTTCAGGTCCCTCTTGCATACGTCTTTGTACCGTAGCTGGGGCTTTCAGGTCCCTCTTGCATACGTCTTTGTACCGTAGCTGGGGCTTTCAGGTCCCTCTTGCATACGTCTTTGTACCGTAGCTGGGGCTTTCAGGTCCCTCTTGCATACGTCTTTGTACCGTAGCTGGGGCTTTCAGGTCCCTCTTGCATACGTCTTTGTACCGTAGCTGGGGCTCTCCTGTTGGACGCTTTCCCTGCCTCAGCTCTCCGTACAGGAGATCCTTGGGGATCCTGCCGTCGCCCATTCGCACAACGTGCCCGAGCCAGCGCATTCGTCTCTGTTTCAGCATTGTGTACATGCTGGTGATTCTTGCTCTCCCCAAGACGTTGTTGTTTGTCACCTTGTCCTGCCAGGTGATGTCCAAGATGTGTCTAAGGCAGCGCATGTGGTAGGCATTCAGCTGTCTTTCCTGACGGGCGCGGAGTGTCCAAGACTCACTGCCATAAAGGAGAGTGCTCAGGACACAGGATCTGTAAACCTGAATCTTAGTATACTCAGTTAGCCTATTGTTGGCCCACACTCTCTTTGTCAGTCTGGACATGGTAGTAGATGCCTTACCGATGCGTTTGTTTAGCTCCGTATCAAGAGAGAGGGAGTCAGAGATTGTGGAGCCCAGGTACACGAAGTCGTGAACGACTTCCAGTTTGGAATCAGAGATTCCGATGTCAGGTGGGGAGTCCACTCCTTGTCCCATGACTTGTGTTTTCTTCAGACTGATGGTGAGTCCGAAAGCCTGAGAGGCCTCGCTGAAGCGGGTTATGAGCCGTTGGAGGTCTTCAGCTGAGTGGGCAGTGACTGCTGCGTCGTCGGCAAAGAGGAAGTCGCGCAGACACCTCAGCCGAACCTTTGTCTTGGCTCTCAGCCTGGCGAGGTTAAAGAGCTTTCCATCCGACCTGGTCCGGAGGTAAATGCCTTCTGTGACAGATCCGAAGGCGCGCCGCAGCATAACTGCGAAGAAAATCCCGAATAGGGTTGGAGCCAGTACGCAGCCTTGCTTTACTCCACTTCGGATGTCAAAGGCGTCTGATGTTAGGCCATCAAAGACCACGGTGCCCCTCATGTTCTCATGGAAAGATCTGATGATGCTGAGGAGCCTGGGTGGGCATCCGATCTTGGGGAGGATCTTGAACAGGCCATCCCTGCTGACGAGGTCGAAGACCTTCGTCAGATCTATGACGGCTACAAAGAGTGGCTGCTTCTGTTCCCTGCATTTCTCCTGCAGTTGTCTGAGGGAAAAGACCATGTCGATGGTGGACCTGCCAGCTCTGAATCCGCATTGTGATTCTGGACAGACTCTCTCTGCAAGTACTTGGAGCCTCTTCAATGCGACTCGAGCAAACAGCTTTCCGACAATACTGAGGAGGGAGATTCCACAGTAGTTGTTGCAGTCGCCCCTGTCACCTTTATTCTTATACAGCGTGACGATGTTGGCATCCCTCATGTCCTGTGGCACCTCTCCTTCTTCCCAGCAGAGGCAGAGATTTTCGTGCAGCTCCATGAGCAGGCTACCTCTGCAGCACTTCTAGGTCTCAGCAGGAATGCCATCGTTGCCAGGAGCTTTACCAGAAGCAAGGGAGTCTAGGACATCGCTGAGTTCTTCCAGGGTCGGTTCACTGTCGAGCTCCATTAACACAGGCAGATACTCAATGGCGCTCAGGGCATCTTCGGTGACCACATTGTCCCTGGCGTATAGCTCAGAGTAGTGCTCGACCCAGCGCTTCAGCTGCAGTGTCTGGTCCTGAATCACCTCGCCAGTGGCAGATTTCAGAGGAGCGGTCTTCCTCTGGATTGGGCCGAGGGCCTGCTTGATGCCGTCATACATTCCCCTCACATTGCCTGTATCCGCTGCAGTCTGTATCTGGGAGCAGAGCTGGAGCCAATAGTTGTTGGCACATCGCCTGGCGCTCTGCTGCACTTTGCAGCGGACGGCCCGAAGGATCTGTAAGTTGCGCGGACTTGGGCAGGCTTTGTAGGCTGCCAAGGCGTTTCTCTTCTCTTTGATGACAGGTGTCATCTCTTCCGAGTGAGCCACGAACCAGTCTGCCGACCTGCTGGTCTTCTTGCCAAAGGTGGAAATGGCAGCGTTGAACACAGCGTCTCTGAAGTGCTTCCATCTTTTACAGGCAGTGACCCCAGCTGGGCCAGGGGAAGCTTCCTCAAGCACGTGTGCAAAATCTTCCACCTTGTCCTGGTTGCGGGTCTTGGTGGTGTCGATGCGAGGTCTGCCCGCCTTTTTCGAGTGATGAATCTTCTTTGGTTGCATCTTGACCCTGCTACATACCAGGGAGTGGTCGGTGTCACAGACAGCACTCTGGTAGATGTGACCTGTGTGTGTATGTACGTGTAGTGTGACCTGTACAGTATATATATATATATATATATATATATATATATATATATATATATATATATATATATATATATATATATATATATATGTGTGTATATCACGAAAATAAACACGTGATTAAGAATGTGACAATGTCAGACCACGAAGGAAAAATGAAACAGGAAATTTCCTTAAGTACTTTCGTATATTAAATACATCTTCAGAAGGTGAAGACCTTCTGAAGATGTATTTAATATACGAAAGTACTTAAGGAAATTTCCTGTTTCATTTTTCCTTCGTGGTCTGACATTGTATATATATATATATATATATATATGTCGTACCTAGTAGCCAGAACGCGCTTCTCAGCCTACTATGCAAGGCCCGATTTGCCTATTAAGCCAAGTTTTCCTGAATTAATATATTTTCTCTAATTTTTTTCTTATGAAATGATAAAGCTACCCATTTCATTATGTATGAGGTCAATTTTTTTTATTGGAGTTAAAATTACCGTAGATATATGACCGAACCTAACCAACCCTACCTAACCTAACCTAACCTATCTTTATAGGTTAGGTTAGGTTAGGTAGCCGAAAAAGTTAGGTTAGGTTAGGTAGGTTAGGTAGTCGAAAAACAATTAATTCATGAAAACTTGGCTTATTAGGCAAATCGGGCCTTGCATAGTAGGCATAGAAGTGCGTTCTGGCTACTAGGTACGACATATATATATATATATATATATATATATATATATATATATATATATATATATATATATATATATATATATATATATATATATATATATATATATATATATATATATATTAGTATATTTTGGTAGCAGTCTTTCCTGTAGACATATATTATTAAATATGACCGAAAAAGTAAGATTAATAATTCTAACACGAATTTTCTCAATCTTTCGTACATTATGCTTCACTGTTGGAGGTAAATCAAAAATCACTTCTCCAAAATTCATTTTTATTTCTAGTCTGACGCGACACGGGCGCGTTTCGTAACACTTATTACATTTTCAAAGACTTCACAAATACACAACTGATTAGAACTTGCGTTTCCCTGATTTTATATCTACATTTGAGTGAGGTGGGAAGGGTGATGTGGCATTACATTTGAGTGAGGTGGGAAGGATGATGTGGCATTAGAGGATATTAATAGGGTATTAAAAGTATCAACACAAGACAGAACACGAAACAATGGATATTGAATAGAA